GAAAACTGTATTTTTTCTTTTAATATAAAACTATTGTCACTGCCACAAAATAGAACAAGTTTCTGATTATTTTACAACGGCGGGCGAGGGGGAGGGAGCAGGAGGTGGGTGGGGAAGGGCTTTGTGTTGGAGGAAGTGTCCAGACCACAGGTCTTCCCCTCCCTGCCCACGCTGTTCCTCAGCTCGGGTCTGCCGCTTTCCCATGAAATGTTGAGTACAAATATATGTGCAAATGCCCCCTAGAACTTGAGAAAAGAAAAAGGATTTTTAAAAAACAGTCAAAAGGTTTTCTTCATTTCATGCAAAGATTGTAGTTGGAGGGTTTCTGGTAGAGTATAGAAAACACCCGGGCTTGGTTTGTGTACATTTTTGCATTGCAGGAGTCTTGGATGGACAGGCCGGTGGTGGGGTAGCCGCCAGCCCTAGGGAACGGAGTTGGAGCGCAGCACAGGGCCCTGGTGGGGTTTGAGAGACAGCTTCTCAGTCAAGACCCCATCCTGCAGGAGGCTGGCATCGCCTTTGGGCTGTTTGGTCGCAAACTCAGTGATGCTGAAGACAAACTGCAGGCAGCCCAGCTTGATGTAGCTGCCATGGTGCAGTAAGGCCGTGCCCTCCCAGCCGGCCCCACTGCCCCCGATCAAGCTCGAGCTGCTGGCTTTGCAATTGCAGGGTCTCCGCTGCGGCCCCTGGGCCTGGGAACTCATCATGGCTGCCTCCTCACTTGGCTCTTCATCCTGTTTCTGGTGCCGGCGGCGCCCTGGGAAAAAGGGGGATGGTCACAGCAGAGGAATAGTAGGGCAGCCAACCCATCTGGGCTGCTGGCCAGGGTTGGGCGCCCACCATCTCCCCACTCCAACTGCTGCATGACTAGGGGTGAGGGATGCTAAGAAAGAGCTGGTGGAGCCTAAGGTCCCCAAATAGGTTTGCAAACGGGGGGGGGGGGGGGGGGTGGTGCGCTCAGCGCTTGCTTCTCTGTAGCCTTCCCTGGACCCACAGGCCAAGGAGAGTTTGGCCAACAGGATAGTGAAGGCAATGAATCAGAAACACTCTGACTGGGGCCTTAGCTTCAGGGCCATAGGCCACTGCCCCAACTTACTGATGACACTCTGCACTTTGGCAACAATACTGCTTGGTGGGGTTGGCGGGGTCTTCTCAGAGAAGTCACATGAGTACAGCACATTGTCCACCGTTGTCCCGTGCTCACTGTAGTTTAACAGCTCATAATGTTTGGTATTCTGAGGAGGAGGAGGGGAGATAAGATGTGTGGTCTGCTGCGTGGGGCCTGGGGCTAGGGGAAGAGAGGACACATGGAGAAGGCTGTGCTGCTCTACTTAGGGAGCTCATGCTGTCTGCCCCGGTCATGCCCCCAGCACCTCCTCAGGGAACCCGCCTTTCCACAGTCCCACGCCCCTGCACTCCCACTGCTCCTTCACTCTCTTCTTCAGCACTGGCTCCTGTTGAGACGATACACACTGGCACAGGGACACACCCACAGGGCTCGCTCCTTCTGGGCCAGTCGCCTCCCCAGCCCTGTGCTGCGCCTGTGACCAGTCTCAGGAGAAATGGTAGCCCTGCTCCTAGGGAGCAGGCAGCACTGTAGGATAGTCTTCCATACCCAGACTCTTCTCCAAGGATGATGGGGAGGGGAGGTGGGAACCCCAATTCCCCACCCACCCCAGGGCACCAAACAATAACAACAAAAAGCCCCAATGTTTGGGAGAGGCCCTAGGGCAGCAAAGCTCCTTCCCACCCCATGTCTGCCCTCACCTCATCGTAGAATATGCAGGCGTGTTTCCCGGACACGTAGTTACAGTGACCATAGTTTGTAAGGCACACATCCATGTCAGCTCCTGCAAGGTGGCAGGAGTAGAGGAAAAGGAAGGCAGAGAACAGACCGTAAGGTGTATGGATGGGGCAAGTGAGGGAGGGAGTTAGCTTCTGGGTGGGCATTAGCAGAGACCCCACTGGGTGGGACAGCTCGAGGAGCTCTCCTTGTATTTTTGAACAAAAACTGATGTCTTTTCCAATATCCTGCTAAATGCCAGCTGTTTCTGCCAGCTGATCTGCTTTAGAACATGTGGCTGCTACCCAGAGGGAAAAAGCGAGCTACTAAAGCTGGGATTATTTCTGTAAGAATACAAAATGGGAGTGCAGGGCCTATAAATCATAACCCCTGAGAGAAAGGGACATTTCTGGGCTAAGGGCTAGCTTGCTGCCGTGCACACCAGCTGTGGGGTAGGGTGTGTGTGTGTGTGTGTGTGCGAGTCCATGGCTTCTGCGAAGACCCCCAGGGACAGGCATCTGCCCTTCCCTCAGGTCTTTCCAGCAGTGTTTAAAACGCCTTCCTGAGCAGCAGTCAGGGTGCACTTTCATCTCTGCTGATGCCACACTAAGCCCAGATAAAGCAGAAGAGCCTGAGCCAGGGAAGTGCTTCATAGTCTCTTATCTGGACATCCATCGGGTTAAACCAGTCAACTCAGCAAAAGGCTTCCCTCACCCGTCGCTAGCTTCTATGGCTAAGAGTGTCAATGTTTAAGGGTTGGAAAAATTCAGGACCTCTCCCAGCTTCCTGGCTGGCTCACCTGTCCCGATGTAGAGGGTTCGATAGCACATGTTCACAGCTCCTCCAAGCCCTAGGAGGGGGTAGAACACAGCTCGGGCCTGTACCTCCTTTCTTTGTACTGTAAGATAAACACAGGGACAGCATAAGTTAGCAACTCAGAACCTGAGATCCAAACAGTACCCAACAAAACCTGGCCCCTTGGATCCTGGCCTGGAGAAAATCCCACTGGATGACTCATCTTTCCAAGCTCACACCTGACACGGATCTACTTTAAGGAGATGTTTTCTCTCCCCAGCCACACCAAATCCAAGGTGTGGTCAAGGAGGACTAGCCTTGAAGATGGTCATAAAATTCAAGGACAACAGTACTTTAAGCTCCTGGGAATTTGGCTAGCCTATCAGGGATATTCCAGTTGACATTATAAGAAGAACATGGAAGAACAGGCATAGATGAGTAGTTCTCAAATCACCTAGAGTCTTGTTAAAATACAGATTCTGGGGGGCTGGCGCTGTGGTGCAGTAGGTTAATCCTCCGCCTGTGGTGTCAGCATCCCATGTGGGTGCCAGTTTTAGTCCCAGTTCTGCTCCTTTTCCGATCCAGCTCTCTGCTGTGGCCTGGGAAAGCAGTATTAGATGGCCCAAGTCCTTGGGCCCCTGCACCTGCATGGGAGACCTGGAAGAAGCTCCTGGCTCCTGGCTCCAGTTCAGCACAGCTATGGCCATTGCGGCCATTTAAGGAGTGAGCCAGTGGATGGAAGACCTTTCTGTCTTTCCCTCTCACTGTCTTTAACTCTACCTCTCAAATAAATAAAATCTTAAAAAAAATAAAAATAAAAATAAAAAAGCAGATTCTGAGGTTGTAGGTCTGAGGTGGGGCTTGTGTTCTACATAATAACATGCTCTCAAGTGATGCTACTGCTGTGGGTCTGGCAGCCATGCTTAGGCTCTTAAAAGCTAATGCTCAGAGAGATCCAAGCAGAGTTAATCACTTGGAAGAATTTGCAGGAGGCTAGCCTGCTTGTTAATTCTATTTCTCACCTTGACCTTCTAAAGTTCCCTCTTGGTCAATCCTTCTAGTTCAAATATTTGAAAGCAGTTGAGCAGAAAGCACACCATATATATCCAAAGGTACTGGGAGCTGCTCCACTGTGTCTCAAATGTCTTCCCCAAGACTGAACAGAAAAAGCTGTGGTTGCCATCTCACTCCTGCTCTGAGGGAGAATAAAAAAGCCATAGTGCTTTACTAAGCCCTTTAAAAGCACACAAGGAGATGCGAGATACTGGAAGCTGAGATTCTCCATGGAAGTAAAGTGGCTGTACACACAGAGGGGAGAGCTGGTGGTGCAGTGGTGCTGTGTGGTGTGTGCATGCGCACCTTCTGTGTGGTGCCCTCCGGAAGCCAGTGGATGTGTCCCGACACTGCCTGGTGAAGCTTGGACCCGGGAGGGGAAAAGCTGATGTATTCTCTGCAAGGCCAGAAACTTGATCAGCTTCTCGTCCAGCATATTTATCTCGATTTCTATTAATCAAAGAAAAAGATTAAAAAGCAGCTGAGGTGGAAATGGAATGTGGAAGTAGTTAAGGGTCACAGAGCAAAAAGTTCAGCATTTTTGAAATCCAGTCAAACAGCATCGAGTATAGAGGGGTTCAAGGAAGCAGAGCCAGGCAGCTCGCCATGTGCATGTGGGTATTTGGGCAGAGTAACTTTGGGTGAAGTGGTCCTAAAAAGGCAGAGCAAAATAAACCACTTGCCTACCTACGGGGACAGCCTGGTTGTCTGGTTTTGAGACTTGGGTTTCTATCTACCCTCTGTTCACAGAGGTCAGGATCTGTGCCTTTTCTCCTTGACTCTGGGGGTTGATGACTCCTTGACTTCGAGGAGGAAGCTCCCAGTTTTGCTCTGAAGGCCAGGTGATCTGCTGAAGTCACTTTGTTCTTGGCTCACTGGTTCAGCTCAGCCTTGTTTTCCCTTGTCTTTACAGGTACATGCATGTGTAGAAGGCAGAGCTAGCTTTTTTACTCCAATTCTCTACCCAAAGGGGCACTCCACACCCTCCACACCTTAGTCCCCTGAGATCAGGCATTGTTTCTTTTCTCTGTCTCTGAAATGAGCCAAATGTCGGACAAGGAAGGCCCCTGCACCCCAGCAGTTGGTAGAACAGAAGCAGCTCACGCACTCACCTCCATTGACATCCATAAATGCTCGAAGTGAGTTGGTGAGGTCCACCATGGCAGTAGAGTTGGCTGGGAAAGAGGGTACGGTTAAAGCGCTTCCTATGGATAACGTGCCGGGGCTGACCTTGCCATCTGGGGACGGAGCAGGAAGACTTGTTACTTACGTAGCCTGAGGGAAACCCACTGATCCAATCCCCCACTGCTGAGACAGGTCTGGATTTCGGACCAAAGGTGATGTTCCCTTCTTGATTCTCAACCCATAGGTTCTGGAACTCCTAGAGCTAAAAACGTGTGGTGAGGAAGGGCAAACGGAATGACAATGCACCCAGGGAACGCAGCAGTCTCCAGAGCACTGAGAGCCACTGTGATCTACTGCTTTGGGAAAGTGGTGGGGCAGCTTCATTTTCTGGGCCATGACCACCACCCTGCTGCCTCTAAAGGAAGTTGTACTTTCCTCTGTAATTCCTACCTACTGAAGTACGACTCAGAGCGTGCAGAAGCTATCCAGGCTGATATGAAAAGGTAAACCGAGACAGAAAAACAGCCTGGGAGCAGGGCCATCCTGGGACCAGGGGCCCCCATGCAGGGAAATCACAGTCACCTGGTTACCGAGACTCCCAGCTGACTAGGAGGCCGGCTTCAGTTCGGACAGGAGAGACCACAGGGGGTTCCAGCAGCATCTGAAACCTGGTTCAGATGCTGGGGTCAGCAACCTTGGGCTCCTGAGTGCTGACTAGGGGCAGCTGAGCAAGCAGGTCCATACTGGGCCAAGTATAGACTTAAGGGAATGCCCTTTAGCATGGAGCCTGAGAGCAAGCTTCTGAGCCAGACCAACCTCCACGGGCATCCCACTCTGAAGCTACTCTAAAACACTGTGATACTTTCTGTCCCAGTTTCCCTGACATGGAAGTTCCTCAAATGAGCTGGCTCAAAATCTCTACCAGGCATGGCTCTAGTCTTGTGTGAAACATGAAACACTGAGGCCATTACCTAGACCACAGTGGTTCCAGATAGCATGATGCTGTTTTTGAAGGTGATAGAACAAAACGAAACAACCAGAAGTCTAGGCCTGGAAAGTGGGGGAAGGAGTCAGGAGACTCAGGTTGCAGTTCTAATCCGGCCACTGGGCACCATTAAGGAAATCATGTAAGCTTTCAGAGCCTAAGCAGTCCCACCTATAAAAACGGGGACAGGTTGACAATATGCTTCCTTTTCTATTACACAAATGGCTGTGGGGGGGAGAACAAACAATACAGAGATCAAAATCCCGTGATGAGAGCCAGCATTGTGGCACACAGGGTTAAGCCACCGCTTGTGATGCTGGCATTCCATATCAGAGTGCTAGTTTGAATTCCATGAATTCCAGCTACTTTGCTTCTGATTCAGCTTCCTGTTAATGCACCTGGAAAGATGGTGGAGGACGGCCCAAGTATTTAGGCCCCTGCCACCCATGTGGGAAACCTGGATGGAATTTCTGGCTCCTGGTTTTGGCCTGGTCCAGAGCTGGCTGTTGTGGCCCTTTAGGGAGTGAACCAGCAGATGGAAGCTCTCTCTGCCTTGCCCTCTCTCTCTGATGCTCTGCCTTTTAAGTAAATCAGTATTAAAAAAAAATTCATGTGACATAGTCACAGCAGTATAAATGCTTTTGGAATCTTAGGTCTTGCCAGGAAGAATGTAAAATCACCCCAGACTGAGTAGCACTCACCTGATGATGGCGCTGGTGAGCAGAATCGTTGGTTGGCTCCTGTGGCCATGATACCATCTCCTGCTGCTTGGGGGGGAGTGAGCACCCGGGTGGCATTTGGGGGTGAGCCCAGTGGCCTTGAGTCTGTCAACGGAGGTCCTATCTGTGATTGGACAGTCTTTCTTTGCAAAGTGCTGGTGTTCTCAATGCTGGCACAAGAGCTGGGAATGGAAGGGGGCAGGCTTGGGACAGGAACCAAACTCCTCTGGGGGCAAGAGCTGGGGCCAGTGGCATTCTCTGTCTTCACAATGATGCCGACGGTGTGGTTCTGAAGCCCCCCAGCCGCTGGTGGCGTGAGGGGTCGAGGCCAGCTTTGCCGGTGTGAGAGGCCTGGTAGGGGGGTGTTGGCGCCTGGAAGTCGCCGGGGGTCCGTGGAATCAGTGGGGCTGCTGTAGAGGTGAGGGCCATTGGCTTTCACCTCTGTGTTCACTGGCCCGTTGGCAGTCCCACAAGGGGCTTTCTTGGATTTTTCCGCACAAGAACTGCAGCTGATGTCCTCTAGGGCTGGGGGCTGGTGGGGTGGAGAGCAGCTCAGGGAGTTCTGGGTGCTAAACCCTGAGGGGCAGGACAAGGGGTAGTGGGAAGCTGTAGGTGCCTTGTCAGCTGTTTGCAGGGAAGTGGTGATTGAGCTGTCAGTCACAATAACAGGCTTAATATCAGCCTTCTCTGTCTGTTCAGAGTCCCAATGCGAAGGCATCTGCTTAGCAGATAAATGTTTCAATATGCTGCACTGGAGCGCAACAACACTACAGAGCCACTGCAACGGAAGGAGAGGAGAGGAGAGGAGGGTGAGAGGCCTGGGAGGCGCTGATTCTTCCCGCCACAGCGGCCAGGGCCACAGCAGAGCTGACAAGCACTGTTTCCGAGGTCCCGTGGTGAGTGCCCAGGAGGGGGTGCTTGACTCCTGACAGGATTCCATTTCCATTCCCAAGCAAGACTTGTTGGTGCATTCAGCAGGCAAACCTGGTCAGCAGAGCTTGGGATTCGCGCTTTGACTCTGCCCCTAAGGCTCACCTCATGACCAACATTCAGCAAGGACCCTGGACACCGGCAGCGGTCCAGGACTATTGCCTCACCTCTCTATGGAGCTGCTCGTCTCTTTCTACAATACAGATTTGCCCGTCTCACAGTGCACCGGGGACCGATGGAGAGCAGCAGACAGTTGACTCTGTAGTGCTCTCTTACTTGCCTTTGGGGTCTGAGCCAGTGGTTGTCTGTGGAACACTCACTCTTGATGGGGGCAGGGGTGGGGGTTGGGGGATGGAGATGGGAACAACACTGAAGCTACTTCCAATACCAGCTATGGTGAGAGTGGCAGGAAGATTGCATTTGGAATCCCATCCCTGTCTTCACTCACCTCTTGTTGCTCTGCCTGGGTAGCTAAGTGCTCAGAGTTCAAAAGGTGCGTCTGTGATTCCTCAGGGATCCCATTGCAGATCAGCTCCCCATCCCGAATGGCCGCAGGTGCAATGAGAGGGGGTGGAAACTGGTACTGAGATTTTATAGCATCAGGAACCTGTTCAGAACAGATGAAAAGGAGAGGAAGCTATACCAGCATGTCCAGTTGATTCTGCCCTGTTGTGCTGCTCTGTGGTGCCTGTAACCACGGGACCATCCACTCTGGGCTCCACTGACAACAAAGAGGCTCAGTGTGCTGCGACTGCTCTGAGTCCCCTGTACCTGTGACTCTAACACACACACACACACACACACACCACACAACACACCTGAAAAGGCACACACACAAAACATACTCGGAGCCTCCAATCTTTCTCATCAACGACCAAGGCCTGCAGAACACTTGTATTCTGCATGGGCCTGAAAAATATAAAACTGACACTGGATAGGGCTTCAAAATGGTACTCTAGGTTCTAATTGCTTAGTGTCAAGTTTGGGAGATGGGTAAGCAGTAACCGAGAGAAAAAGTTAAATGAGGTCTATTCATGGTACAGCATGAGGCCTGGCTCCTGGTAATAATTCAATCAATGATAGCTTTCTTCATCATACATTCACGACTCATGAAACAATTAAAGACCTCTTTGTTGGACAAAGAATATATACTCTGAAGCACAGCGTGCAAGAATAAAAGAGTCACACAAGCAAAGAGTCATTCACATATTTGACCAACATTTATTGAGCACCTCGTTCTGAGTCTGGGCACTACTTCAAGGCCTAGAGATCCAGAGGTGAACAAAATATAAGCCTTGCCCTCAAGGAGCTCACAGTCTAGGGGAAGACATAAATGGAAATATTGTAGTACAATGTAATGGGCCCATGAATAGAGGCTATGGAAAACATAAAGCAGGCAGGTGTTTAGGCTAACAGTTAAGATTCCTGTGTCCCTTGGGGACAGCTCTGTGGCACAGCAGGTTAATGCCCTGGCCTGAAGTGCCTTTCTCTCTCTGCCTCTCCTCTCTCTGTGTAACTCTGACTCTGAAGTAAAAAGTAAATAAAATCTTTAAAAAAAAAGGGGGGGGGGGCGGTGCTGTGGCGCAGTGGGTTAACACCCTGGCCTGAAGCACTGGCATCCCATATGGGCGCTGGTTCCAGACCCGGCTGCTCCACTTCCTGTCCAGCTCTCTGCTGTGGCCTGGGAAAGAAGTACAAGATGGCCCAAGTCCTTGGGCCCCTGCACCCACGTGGGAGACCTAGAAGAAGCTCCTGGCTTGACCTGTCGCAGGCATTTGGGGAGTGAAGCAGCATGAACCAGACAGGGATCTCTCTCTATCTCTCTGCCTCTCCTCTGTGTAACTTTCAAATAAATAAATAAATCTTAAAAAAAAAGATCTGTGTCCCAAATAGGAGTACTCCAGTTTGTTTGTTTGTTTTTTTAATTTATTGATTTGAAAGGTAGAGGCAGAGAGAGAGAGAGAAAGAGAGAGGTCTTCCACCTGCTGGTTCATTCCCCAAATAGCTGCAATGACCAGAGCTAGGCTGATCCGAAGCCAGGACCTTCTTCCAGGTCTCCCATGTGGGTGCAGGGCACCAAGGACTTAGGTCATCTTCTACCACTTTCCCAGGCCATCATAGAGTGCTGGATCAGAAGTGGAGCAGCCAGGACTCAAACAGGTGCCCATACAGGATGCCGGCACTGCACTCCAATTCTTGACTCTAGCTTCTTCCTTGTGAGACCATGGGAGGCTGTGCTGATGACTTAAGTAGTTGTGTTACTATCACCCACAAGAGAGACTGGACTGAGTTCCTGGCTCCTGGCTTTAGCCAACTCCTGCCATTACAGGCATTTGGAGGAATGGATGAGCAGATGGGGGCTCTCTGTCACAAACAAACCCATAGGAGTGAGAGCTTACTTTAGTTTGATGGACAGAAACAGAATTAGGGAAGGTTTTATAGGAAGTCAACTTTTTTCTTTTTTGACAGGCAGAGTGGACAGTGAGAAAGAGAGACAGAGAGAAAGGTCTTCCTTTTTCCGTTGGTTCACTCCCCAATGGCCACTGCGGCCGGTGCACCGCGCAGATCCGAAGCCAGGAGCCAGGTGCTTTTCCTGGTCTCCCATGCAGGTGCAGGGCCCAAGGACTTGGGCCATCCTCCACTGCACTCCCGGGCTACAGCAGAGAGCTGGACAGGAAGAAGAGCAACCGGGACAGAATCCGGTGCCCCGACTGGGACTAGAACCCGGTATGCCGGCGCCGCAGGCGGAGGATTAGCCTATTGAGCCACGGCGCGGGCCAGAAGTCAATATTTGAGCTGTGTCTTGGAAGGTGAAAAGGAACTTGGCAGACATATGGGAAACAAGGGTAGGGAAGAACCACCATTTAGCATAGCAATGTGAAGTAGGTGGTGGATTTGGGAAACAGAGAACCAACAGATTTGGTGATCAAGTCCTTATGCAGAAAAGGAGCTAAAAACAGTTTTCAGTGTTTTAGGCTTGAGGGACTGTGCAGAGATCACTGTCATTAATTTTTTATTTATTTATTTTTTTGACAGGCAGAGTGGACAGTGAGAGAGAGAGACAGAGAGAAAGGTCTTCGTTTTGCCACTGGTTCACCCTCCAGTGGTTACCGCGGCTGGTGCGCTGCGGCCAGCGCACCGCGCTGATCCGATGGCAGGAGCCAGATACTTCTCCTGGTCTCTCATGGGGTGCAGGGCCCAAGTACTTGGGCCATCCTCCGCTGCACTCCCTGGCCACAGCAGAGAGCTGGCCTGGAAGAGGGGCAACCGGGACAGAATCAGGCGCCCCAACCGGGACTAGAACCCAGTGTGCTGGCGCCGCAAGGTGGAGGATTAGCCTAGTGAGCCGTGGCGCCGGCCGACTGTCATTAATTGAAACAGGAACCACAGGAAGAACAGATACGGAGAGGTGGAAGACTTTTGGTCTTGGGCAGGTTTACACTATGGTACTTATGGGATGGGTAGGCAGATATGACTCTGGATATGAGGAGAAAGGCAAGGAATATGGAGTTCAGAGTCATCTCCCTGACTGTATTAGCCAGTACCATAGACTTTCTAAGACTACCAGGAAAGGAGCAAGGGGCAAATCTAAGGCTGTCCCTCAATCCCTGACAAGAGTCGAGAAGCAGGTGGAAGAACCTTGAATATAGATATCAAGTTCTCAGCAGGGATAAAGGCTAATATTCCAGCAGAGCTGGGTTTACCACTGTCCTATGGTGCTACAGTTCTTGTTTAACCTCCAAGTACAAAATGCTTTCCAGCCAACTTATGCCATTTTAAAAAAGGAAGGTGAGGCGGGGTGGTGGGAAAGGGAGGAGAGGAAAACACACAACAGGATTTTACCAAGATCCCATGGCATCTCACTTTAGCATCCAGGATGTCTTCCCAGTCTACGTGGTAATTTATACTTTGGATTACTTTTAGATCTGTTTGAGGTAGGAGGCATGTCACCTTTAATATCCCTTACCCTCAACTAAAAATTTTAATTGTAGAATGCTTGTGTTTCCGCTGAATATAAATATTTACCCAGTTAAGAGTTTGTTATGTAATTTCCAACAGTTAGCATCTTGCTAGAGCTGACACTCCCAGGAGGTGATGGGAATAGTGTGATTGATTTTTAAAGTGAGGCTGCCGCCAAGTGGCCATATTTCAGAATAGTTGGTTTCTGTTGGCGCATAGGGCTGTCAGTGGGATTATTTCAGAATAGCAAAATCAGTTTATATTTGGGTACACAGTGTAGGGTTAACTAAATGGCTAATGGGAAACATCCTCAACACCACCAAATGATTTTCAATGAAAGACATTTTTCTGTAAATCAGTGTGGACACACTTTAGCCACAAATATTAGGTATTATTATAGCAATGCTACAATTTAGAGTATTGGTGATATATTAACACCACTTGGTGACATAATTAGTAATTATTTTAAAAATTTAATTTTCCGGGGCCAGCGCTGTGGCCGCAGCAGGTTAACGCCCTGGCCTGAAGCGCCAGCATCTCATATGGGTGCCAGTTCGAGACCCGGCTGCTGCACTTCTGATCCAGCTCTCTGCTATGGCCTGGGAAAGCAGAGGATGGCCCAAGTCCTTGGTCCCTGCACCCGCGTGGAAGACCCAGAAGAAGCTCCTGCCTTAGGATTGGCACAGCTCTGGCCATTGCGGCCAATTGGGGAGTGAACCATCGGATGGAAGACCTCTCTCTCTCTTTCTCTCTCTCTAACTCTTTCAAATGAATAAATAAATCTTAAAAAAATAAATAAATAAAATTTTAATTTCCCTTTAGATATTTTCTTCTTAAGTTACTGAGGAATAGCTCCTCCCTTTCCACGTGGCTCTCTCTGCTTAACCAGTCCCATTTTTTATCTAGCCAAACAGTTCTAAGGCGGATATTTAACAAGCACAGACAGGATGAGTGTCAGGTGTGGGAACAGCAATAACAGAGCACTTCTGAGTTTGTTGGGCTAGCCGAAGGGCACTTATCCTTAGAAGAACTACAAACTGGCAGGCTTTAAAGGCCTACTAGGGGTTGGCTCTCATAATCTTGACTGCTATCCTCAAATATTAAAATGCAAGGTCACACTCATTACTTACTAAGGCACCACAGACACATCTCCAGGACTTCAATCTCTCCTCATTTGTGAAACTGGGATGATTCTTTGTCCATCCCATGAGGGCAATCAGAGACCACCAAATTTCCTGCCTGCTCCAAGCCGTAACTCACCTTCAAACTTCTTCTTTTGACAGACTGGAGCACACGGCGATTAGGAGGGTGCTTCTTATGGATTCGGTTCAGGAAGTCCACTTTGACAACATGCTGTGAAATGGTGTCCTGGAAACGATCGAACACCTGGCACCGATTGCTCAGTGTCATATTCTTCTGGTTCAGCTGGGGACAAAGCAAACACACCTGTGGTGAGATACAAATGGCACCCCCTGTCTAGCTAACCCTGTTTTCTGGATTTAAAAAATAGATAGCCTTGGCCAAATGGGTTCCTTCAGCCAGAGGCCAGGATGTCAACTCCTAACAGAGGGCAAGGGAACGTGAACGAGCTAGCCCTCCCCAGTCCAGCTGGGGAAAGCTGTAGATTCCTGTTCCCAGAGCACCCTTTGTCAGGATATCCTAAGAGCAGCATAGGTTTCAGAGGAGGTTCAGACTTTGCCCCTCCAGAAACCCAGTCTCACTTCCTAGCAAGGGACTCTTACAGGAAGCAGGACTGTGGCTGATAGCTGCGTCAGCAAAGATCCGGTGTCCCCTGCCTTATTCCTATTCCATGGTACCAGGGCTCTCCTGTGAACAGATCTTGATATCACAATCTTCCTCTGTGGGATGGTGTGGGGGAAGGGAGAAGCCTGAAATGCTCTTAGAGGCCAAAAGGAGGGAAGAAATAAAATTTTTTAAAAAAATATTTATTTATTCATTTGAGAGGTAGAGTTACAGAGAGAGGGAGATAGAGAAAGGTCTTCTATCAGCTGATTCACTCCCCAAATGGCTGCAAATGGCCCCAGAAAGCAGAATTTCTACATTGGCATACACAAGATATATTGAAAATACGCCACTTTCCCTTTTATGTATCTACCCACACTTTAACTCAAAAGAAAGGATCTGTTGTGGCAACTTCCTAATTAGTAATCAGGCCAAATCTTTAAGTGACTAGCAAAAAACCAACTAATAATTTATCAAAGCTGGAAAGATGCTCTTTACAACTCATATTTGAGGGGCTAGTGCTGTGGCATAGAGGGTTAAGCCTTTTCCTGTAGCACCAGCATCTCATATGGGCAATGGTTTGAGTCCTGGTTGCTCCAGTTCTGAGCCAGCTCCCTGCTAATGGCTTGGGAAAGCAGTGGAAGATGGCCCAACTGCTTGGGCCCCTGTACCCAGCCATTGTGGCTATTTGGGGAGTGAAACAGTGGATGGAAGACCTCTCTCTGCCTCTCTGTAACTCTGCCTTTCAATAAATAAATAAATATTAAAAAAAAAAAAAGGACTCATATTTGGGGCCCAGCATTGTGGTGCAGTGGTTAAGCCTCTTTTTATGATGCTGGCATTCCATATCAGAAAGCTGGTTCATGTCCTGGATGCTCTGTTTCTGATCCAGCTCTCTAATGCTCCTGGGAAGGCAGCAGATGATGGTTCAAAAGCTCGAATCCCTTCCACCCATGAGGGGGACCAGGATGGAGTTCTTGGCTCCTGGCTGTTGTGGGCATTAGGAGAGTGAACCAGCAGATGGAAATATCTCTCTAACTGAAAAGAAATAAATCTTTAAAACAAACAAACAAAAAAACACAACAAAAAACAGACTCATATTTGGGGGCCAGCACTGTGGGCAGTGGGATTAAGCTGAGACAGCTGGCATCCTATATTAGAGTGCCGGTTTGAATCCTGGCTGCTCTGCTTGATCCAGCTCCCTGCGAATACTCCAGCAGATGACTCAAATGCCTGGTTAGGGTTAGGGTTAGGGTTAGGGCCTGGGCCCTTGCTATCCATGTGGAAGACTGGAATAGTGTTTCTGGCTCCTGGCTTCAGCCTGACCCAGCTGTGGCTGTTATAGGCATTTGGGGAGTGAACCAGCATCTGTCTCTCTTTTTTTCTGCCTCTCAACTAACTAAATAACTAAATCTTCAAAAACAAAAAAACCTCTCATGTTATTTGAGTAAACTGCTTATGGTCATTTTTTTCCTGGTTCAGCAGGAAGCAAAACCAATACTCACTGAGCCTCAAAGAGAAGCTTCCTTTGAGATAAACTTTTCTGAATGGCATGAGTCAAAATAATACGAAGTAACTCTTTCTTCTATATGTGTTTGACTCTTTAACTGAGGATGGCCTCAGAGTATACACTAACAGTCATTCCATGGTTCCCATCACTTGGCAGATAATGTCATAAGCAGTAGCCTTTTTAATTTGGAAAGGCTGTGTTTAGGAGGGAACTCCTCTTCCTGAAGCCTCAGTCATTTGACACTGTGAGGGACTACTCTGTCTCTAAGGAGAAGTCCTCAGTCTCCTCTGGAGACAATTAAGCTCTCTTCTAGCCTCGGAAGCAGTCTGGAAAATGTACCGAAGTTTCCTGAGAGAGAAGGCCATAGGACACTCTCTTACCGTGCATTGACTTAGCAGCTTACTTATTGAACACCTCTTATGTGCCATCAAAAGGTCCTTATTTGGTGCCCAGGACACATGTATTCCACAGAATCAACCATTTATTTCCTTAAGGTTGGATCTAATAAACTCCTTCAGAGCTATATTATCAATTACCTAACACTCTGGGAGAAATTATTCACAATCAATTAAGCATTAGTGATTAAGTTTGCCTATGCAAACTAAGCAAGGCATTGTGAGAAAAGGCAAAATAAACAGCTGAGTTCTGTCAAAATAATCAGAATTGAGTAGGATGGTCTACAGAAACAGGCATCTGTGGGATTATCGTGAACTCTGGCACAAAGCTGACATTAATATGCTTTCTACTGAGTCAGTTCATGGCCCAGCTGTGCCTGGAGAGGACTGAATGGGTGCTGCTATGCTTACCACCACATGTTCGATGTGATTCGGACACATCCATCTGCCCAGGGGCATGGCAGTGAGCGGTGGCTCGAGGCAGTCCATGTGAAACAGGAGGGGGCAATAGTCACACTGGATGAGAGGGGCCACACGGCAACTCCTGCAAAAAAGGATGTAGGCCATTTCTGCAGCAGGATGAGAAACTTCACACTAACTTCCCTCATTAATCCTAACATTCTACCATCTCCTCCTCCCCCAGTCATTCAGTTACATTCACAATGAGAAAGATGGATGAATTCTGGGGCTACCACCAGGCTCTCCATTGTTCTGTCTTCCAAGAATGCATCTTGTGGGGAAGTGAATGTTCATCTGGAGTATGGTTAAGGTGGCTGTCAGAGGAGGAATGATCAGTGCTCAGCACCCACTCAGGGAAAAACAGCCAACTCTGCTTTCATCTGTCTGCTCCTCAAGAGAGCAATTACCTCATTTAAAAAAATCGCTAGCAACTTTTCTAGAATTTTAACTACAAGTAAGAAAAATTTCTGCCTGAAGCTCTTGGTAGAATTGACAACCACTGAGAGGTGTGCTGAGAAAAAGATTTTGTAATGTATTCATGTAAACACAGTTCAAGGGAGGCTTAAACACGATTTGCAACAATACTCCTCGGGTCCCGATGCACCAAAGCCAGTTTGTCCTGGCTCAGCATCCTGCTCTACTCTAGCTCCTTACAGTTCTTGCCATGGAACATTTTTTTTTTTTTAAATGGCTATTTTCTCCTGCTATCCTGCTCTGACCAAAATACAGTCCTTTTATCATACCCAAGCCAGCAAGGCCTGCTTCAGTAACTAAATTGGCTGGTTTCTGTCACTGAGAAGATCCTTTTTGAAGGAAAACAGTGTCCAGGGAAGAAACAACTGGGGCAGTCCAGACGCTTTTGGAAGTCATCCAGTTCACACTGACTACCGTGGATACTTGCACTACTTTCAAACTCATCTCTAGTGATTTGAAAATGCTTTGCTTTTTCCAGGGACTTGTGTCCCTACTGAGCAGAAATCTTCTGTTAGCTAGTATAAATATCTCATGCCTCAGTTTAAATCCAACTCCTCTCACTCTAGCTTTTAACATCCGAGTTAACAGCATTCTATATTGTAATTCCTCAGGGAATATGTTGCTAACATGTTTAAGTCTCTGGTCAGCCAATGAGTCAGTCAGTCTCTGAGTACTCATCAGAAAATAGGATGTCCACATTTAACATACATAGTTTGGAAGAGCCGACAAAAGGGAGAAAAAAAAAAAGTCATTTGCCGCGTATGAGGAAGAGCCCCTTAGTACCAAAGAAAATACCTGTTACACGTGAAACAGACTTTAACTGGTAAAGGAACAAGACCATTGTGATCTAACTCATGCTGGGTCTTCTTAACATTCTTCCCTGTGGTTTCCTCTTTTCTTCTCCTCTTGCTAGAACCTAGAAGAGAAATTGGTAGTGCTGAACTATCCCTGGCTTCAGAGCTCCTAGCCTGGGATATGGAAGCATGGAGTGAAACATTCCATGGCCCAGACATGGATTTCTCTGAGGCCTCAGGGGCTAGTTTCAAGTTAAAAAAGCAAAAAAGAATGAGAAGCAGGTGGAGAGAAGGAGACTGAGATCTAAATTAGAACCATGATAGGAAGATACCTGTTTGGGGGCAGAAACACATCTCATTGTTTTGGAAACATGAAGTGGTCAAAACCCTAGGTTAGATACTGACAAACTATGATAAATGCCCAAAGGTCAACAAAGACTATTCTGTGGAGATGGCTGGGGAAAAAAGACTACAATTTCACCCCATTTTTGTAGAAATCAGAAAAGCTGGGGTTAGTAATAGGTTAAGCCTCTGCCTGTGGCACTGGCATCTCGCCTGCTTCACTTCCCATACAGCACCCAGCTAATGGCTTGGGAAAACAACTAGAGGATGGCCCAAGTGCCTGGGCCCCTGCATCCATGTGGAAGACCCAGAAGAAGCTCCTGGCTCCAGATTGACCCAGCTCCGGCCACTGTGGAGAGTGAACCAGTGGATGGAAAGCTCTCTCTCTTTCTCTGTCTAACTGTGCCTTTCAAACAAAATAAATAAATGTTTAAAAAGTAAACCAAGCTGGAAGCTTTGTGGAATCAATAGCATGGTGATAAAAAAAAAAAAAAAAAAAAAGGAAAAAGAATGGAGGGAAACTTGGTAATATATATTCTAACAATTCTAATATTAGGAATTTATCCTAAAGACACACTCACAAGTCTATATATGTGTATAATGATATATTCTCAGTTATTTGTTGAAGCACTACTTGTGGTAACAAAAGATTACATGTCTATTAAATAAATTATAGCATATCTGTATAGACTATTATGCAACCATTAAAAAAGAACCCAGGAAATTCTACATTG